AAGAAAGTCCTAATAAATGACAGCTCATTCTCCTCACCCCCAGCTGGGCCTCCAGGAGACAAGGACACTCACTGTAGTCCCTGCACTTGCTCAGTCCCCAGCAGGCGTGATCTCTAAAGCAGGCTCCCTAGGAGCACCCTCTCCTCCCTGACCCTCTGAGATGATCTCTGCCAGCCACCACCCACCCAGCATCCCCGACCCTCCTTTCTTCCCCAAGACAAACCCAAGCAACATGCCATTCCCTGCTGGAGTCTGACCCTGGTTCTTGTTCTTCTGGTCTTTCCTGGGATAATGCAGCCAAGGGTGGGAGCACCACTCTGCTGTCCCAGAAAGTCTACAGGGCAGGCCGAGCTCCCCAGCCCCGCTCTTTGTCCAATTGTTCCAGGCTGGAGCTAAAGAGGAGCACCCAGCTGTGCTTGCTTGTTCCCTCCAAGACCCAGAGATCTAGGAGGTCTTAGGGAGGTAAGGACAGGTAGCCCCAACTCTGGGTTCCTTTTTCACCACTGTCACACCCAATGGGACAGTGTCCTCAGCTGCTATGCCTCAGTCTCTCCTGTCCCTCCCCACCCTCAGCAGACCTCCCTTTGTCCCCTGACTCTTGAGTCTCGGGGCAGCAACCTGGGATGACCATTGTTGGGCTGGTGGGGTAGAGAGTTGACAGACTGGAACATCCAGCAGACTGTTGTCTCCCCTGGTGCTCGCAGGCAAGCAACAGAGCAGAGACCCTCACCACCAGCCTTCCCAGATGGGACTATCCAGCCCCGCCAGCCCTGGGCTCTGCAGAGGCTGCATGTCAGAGTCCACGGCCTTGAACTCCAGGTCCCCAAATCAACCTCCTGGTGTTGACTTGCATCTGGAAAGGGGCTTTGGCGAGGCAGAAGCCAGAAGCCCCTAGAAAGCCCTGACTTCTGGCTCAAGTCATTCCTCAGCTGAATGGCATGTGTGGCCACTGGGCAGGTAAAGTGGCTGCTCTCAGGCCCCATCTGGGCCACCCAGAGGTCCCGAACCCTGAAGAGTGCTGGCTCCTGTCTCCTGCTGTGGCTGCAGATGCCAGGTCACTGGGGTCTTATAAAGCAGGGCCGGGAGGAGGTGGGCCCTGGAGGGTCCATTTCTTCAGTGCTGGCTTCAAGATGGCCTAAGCTGTGGGGCACAGAGGTCCTGGGAGCTGCCAAAGGGCAATGTACTCTTAGTCAAGGTCACCATCTGGTGACAAGGGCAAACCCATTTGACCTACCTCTCCCACAGTGAATACCCTGGAGAGAAATACATTCTTGGCTTTTTTCAGAATTCATGTCTGGACCTGAACTAGAACAGAGGCTGTTTCTCTCCAGCTGTCATCCTTCTCCTCCCAGGAGCCACACTCCTTACCTGAAGGAGGCTCAGTGCCTCTGGGAAGAGCTCCCGGAGCAAGCCCACCCCTGCTGCTCTTTCCTTCCCTCCACAACCTTCTAGGTTCCACTGATGTGGCTCAAATGGCTCGCAGGTGGCTTTGTGACTATTCTTTCCACTTATTGCAGACTGTCAAGTCTATCCTGGCCTCCATGAGGGCTTGGATCATGACATCTGTTAACTTTTTGTATCTTCACTGACACGAACGGTGCCCAGCTCTCCTCAGTAGGTAATAATTCCATCCATTTCATAGTTCTCAATAGTTCTGAAGATCTGCTTTGCTCCTCCCAACAGGAGGACAGGAGACAGGAGCCAGAACTCTTTGGGGTCCAGGACCTCTGGGTGGCACAGATTGGGCTGGGGGATGCCACCTTCTCTGCCCAGTGGCCACACGTGCCATGCAGCCTGGCAGGTTTTGTGATACCCATTTTACAGAGGAGGAAATTGCAGGTGATACGTGAACTAGTCAGAACTTGAACCCAGGTCTTCCAGATAGAAGGAGAACTCTGCTATCAAAGAAAGGAGATAAGGAAATAGATGGTAATACGAATATTAATAACATAATACCAACATGTAGAATTTTCAGTGTTTTTATATCCATTCTACCAGTCTGACTCTGTGAGGTAACAAGAAAAAAATTGAGGAATCCATTTTATGGTTGAAGAAACTGAGGCTTAAGTGGCTTTTAGGAAGGACTTCATTTTACAGAGAAGTGAACTGACAGAAGCTGGGGTCTGCCCCAGCTCATGCAACAAGAGAGAAGAGGGGAACACAGTGGGTGTCCTGAGCCTCCTGCCTGGCTCAAAGGCAGGAACCCTCTCTTCTGGATGGTGCGGGAGGGCCCACGCTGCACTGGCCCCACCAGCCCGAGTCCTTCAGGACATCTGATCACAGCATCACCTGCTCTACCATCACTGCTTTGGCAGGTGCCCCACTGTTGTGCAATCAGGCACGGGGCTGGGTCCGAATCCATAAAATCAACAGCCCGGTGGCTTGAACTGGCTGATTCTGCCCCCCTGGAGTTTAGCTCTGACAGCAATGAATCACACTAATAGCAAGAGGTGGCCATTCCTCCTCTTTGTGGCCTGGAGACAGGTATTTCCAAAGCTCCTCCCTTGGCTCAGGCAAACACACCTGACCTCTCTTTCTTCCGCTGGGCCCCGGCAGGGCAGAACAGCCAGGGACAAGGTGGGGTGAACCAGATAGAGCTGGAGTGTTCTCCCACCCCAGCTGTGCCAGTCGCCCCTGCCATCCCGTGTTCCCAGGGAGGGCAGTACCCTCCTTCCCTGAGGAAGGGGATAAGAACCCTGTGACCTTGGGTGTGCTTCAGCCTGGCACCCCCCTCACTTCTTCCCTCCCCCCCAGCTGCTTGCATTCTGCCTGACTCTCTTCCAAGAACGATTTGGAAAGTTCTAATCTACAACTTGCAAAAAAACCCAGAGAGGTAGGAGGGCTACAGCACCTGGGGACGCAGTAGGCAGACTCACCTATTTTTATAGTGGTGCTAAGTAACACAAACACCTCCATGCAAAGAGACTTGAAAATCTTTGTGGTGGAATTCATGGGGGGCAGGCGGAGTAGTTGGGAGGCACACATGCAGGACACCTGAGGTCACTTTCTGAGGCACCAGGGGACTCAGTCTTCCCTTCTGGGAAATGGCACAGTGCAGCAGCTTTCCTGTTCAACCAAGTTACAGTTGCCACATTAAACCAAATCACAAATATAAATGAGTGTCACACTCCGGACAGATAAGGTCTACCCTTGTGGGTCTATCCTTGTGGAGTGTTACTGTGAGTCCCGAATGGGTTGATCCGTGTGAAGTCCTTAGCCTAGTACATATCAAGTGCTGATAAACGTCAGCTGCTATTATTATTAAATTATTACAATTTTGATCATCAGTTTGACTGTTCATGTATCTTGTTTCAGACCACTTGCATTCCACATGAGCCTCCTTGGAGCACAGTCTAGCTAGTTTATGCCCCAAGGGGACAGCCATGCTCCAGAGGCGGTCTCATGAGCCACCTGATCGTCCCTTTCTTCATGTGGACCTCAGCCTTCTCCTGGGGAAGGGAGCGAGGCTGAGGAGTGTGCTGTAAAGCATCCTAAAGACTGACAGCCTGGGGTCCATTTCTAGCTCCTCCACCCCCCAGCTATGTGGCCCTAGACCAGTCACAAATTTGTCACAGAGAATCTATAAAATGGAACTATCCTTCCTATCTCAGAGACAATGCTGGGTTACCAGGGGAAACTAAGGGGGTGCTTGGCCTCTGGCAAAGGTGGGATAACCATTTTACACATATGCTAAAGATGAAACTGTCACTCCTTTTTATTAACATAACTATTTTGAGAAAAATCAGAACCTCCCCCTCGGACTTCTTTATGCTTATTTTGTAGTTTTATGTTTTGTTTTTAAAAATGTATGGTGGAGGTACCCACAACCTTTTGTGTGCCTGGGGCCTCTAAGGCACTTCAATCTGGTCGTGCTCTGAAATTGTTCAAAGCCTGTAAATTCTCTGATGCATAATGAGTGCTCCATGAACAGTGATCTTATTTACCAAGTCTAAGTGTGAGCAGAGATTTTTTTAATCACCATGATCACCGGGTTAACAACATGGAGCTTAATCTCAAACTTAAGCCTCAGTTTTTTCCAAGACCTGAGGGACTGAAGGTAGAAGCCAGAGAAGTGGGAAAGGCGTCCAGCCAGGGATCGTCGCTGTGCAGTTTCACAGCTCTGAACACTGAAGAATCTAGAGAGGCGCTATGAAGGTTGAAACCCTAAGGTGTTCCAGGCATACTCATGTTAGAACAGGGCATGGTCCTTGCCCCCTAGGAATTGTCTCATGACAAAGACACACCAAACGCGTAGAGGTGGGCTCTGCACACGGGCGACCTCCAAGTGGAATCTGCCTGCAGCTGTGTTTGTTTGGCCAACAGTGCTTTTTACAAAACCGAATTGGAATGTCTTTGGGAGGACACTCTAGGTGACTCAGGCCCCTATGCTCCATTTATTGTGTCACTACAGCCAAGTCACATATTGACATTATCTGTGTGGCCTCTGCAGTTTGGATCCCAGGTAGACAGTATTAAGGGTAAAGATAAAGGCAGGAGCCAAGTGTGACCAGAGCACAAAAAAGACGGGACTTATTCTCTTCCTGAAGTCCAGGAAGGCTTCACAGAGTAGGGGGTATTTGAATTGGTGGAAAGATAAAAGGGAAAGGGCTTTGAGCATAGCCCAAGTGACCTACCATGACGTTCTTAGGTAGTGCCCCCAGAACTGACAAGAGAAAGGTTAAAACCTTTTATTTCAGGTCAGTGAGCACCCTGCTATGGGATGGAGCCTGAGCCCAGTGACCTGGGAGGAGGTGAGTCGGTGAGAGTGGGGGGGAGGGGGGAGGAGGGTAAGGGAGGAGGAAGGAAAAGGAAGAGGAGCAAAGAGAGGAGAAGCACGGAGGAGCTACCATAAAAGCAGCTGGGTTAAACATGTACCACCCGGCTGGCTGGGCAGCCTTCACTTCTTCCCTGTGACTGAGGACAGACTCCCTTCGCCCTTTAAGTTCCACGGGCCCTACAAACACTCAAGTTCTTTTACGGAAAGGAAAGCATCTCAGAGCCACTAGGAAACAAATGATATTTTATTCCTTTTTTCTGTTGAGAGGATAGATCACAATACAGAGAACAGCGGTCCTGGTCACAGCGGCACGGTTTGGCTAGTTTCCACGGGAACACAAGGGACAGGAGGGGCGGGATCTGGCTTGAGTTCCCACTCTCTTTATGACCTTCAACCTCTTGTTGTTCCCTCTGCAGCAGGGCTGCATGGAGCCTGCTGGGTTTCTAACCTGCAGCACGGTCACCATTCTGACCACTGACAGGCACAGCAAAGGATGTAGAAGGTGTTGCTGCCTGACCAGTGGGATGTGGATAGAGAAGCAAAGACACCCCCCGCCACCCACCCGCTGCCTATCCCAGCGTGCTGGCCCCAACACAATGGGAACCATCAGCCATTGCCTGCCAGAGACCCCGCTTCAGGGATGGGAGACTGAGTCCGGACAAGCTGGGCTGTAGAGGTCTCAAGAGCAGGGAAGGCTGGAGGGGGGTAGTGTTCCAGAGCCCATGGGGTTATTGCTGAGAAGATATGCAAGGGGCACATTCCCCAGGGGCAGACTAGAAGCCCTGGGCCTGGAATCCGTGGGTGCTCTGTGAAGGGGCAGGCCATATGGGGACTCCACGGCAGATGCCCCAAGAGGAAAATGACCATGACAGGATGTAGCCTGCCTGAAGGCGAAACTGGCTTGCCAGCACCTTGCTTCGAAACTCCAACTGCTAAGAGACCTTCAGAGCAGACTCGGGTCAGCATGGAATATGGAAGCGAGGTTCTTGTGAAAGAAGAGACAGCCCATGAGGAATGACAAGGAAGGGGATGATGCAAACCTTCCCAGGTCCTGCCCGTGCTCCTACCCTACACCCACCCCTACATCAAGAGAAGGGACTGGTCTCTCAGGGAAAAAGCAGACTTCGAGGAGGAGCGGGAGGCGATGGAGGGCATGGGGGGCGGGCAGGGAGGAGCTGATGGCAACATGGCTCAGCTCCTGCCCAGGAAAGTGAGTCCACAGTTCACTAACACAGCATCACCCACGAACAAGTAGCCACAAAGACCACAGTCAGCAAATGCACATGGACACACGGACACATCACAGGAAGGGACGAGACTGCAGGCTGCAGGTGGGGGAGGCAAGTGTAATTGCATCTTTAAGTCGAGGAACTGAGTTAGAGGGGATGGGGACGGGTGCAGGGCGACACACACGTTCTTGGCTTCTCCTGGGGAAAGATCTGTTTGCTGAAGTGGCCGGTTTTCTTAAGCATCAACATTTGCATCTAAAAGTTCAAGCAGCTGCCTTCGGGTTCCGGAGGCTGGGGAGGGAGAGAATTTAAATTAAAGCACAACTTCAGCTCCTTTTAGGTATCCTCACCTGCTCCTCTCCTGGCTCTTCGCATGGGCACCTTGCCCACTGAAACTCCTGGGATGACATCCTGTCTAAGCCCCTAAGTTCGTGATGAAGCAAGGAGAAGGTCAAGGCGGAGATTTAGGGAGAGGGGATGCAGGCAGGAAGTGAGGTGGGCCTCAGGTGGGCCGGAATCTGGAAGGCACGGAAAGGAAACAAACCTGGGACACCTCCAATAGTTGCTCACAGTCCTGAGACTTAGGAGAAAAGAGTTGCTGAGAAAGACCTAGTTTTTTTAAAAAAATGGGAAGACACTTCATTTTGAGGCTGCCTCCCACGCGTGGATTCTCAGCCTGACCTGCCAGCTGTGGTGAAATGGACAGAACACCAAGCTCCCAGCTAGGACACCTGCCTCTTGGATTGTGATCTACGAGCATCTCAGGCTTAGGCGATCACTGGCCCTGGAGCGCCCCATCTAGAAATGGATGTAATGACCCTGCTCAGCCCACCTACAGGGCCGTCATGAGGACATAAAAGCACTTAAGGAAAGGAGGAAAATGCTACACGGGTATACCGTGTCATTACAATCACAGCAGAAGCTAGTGTATCAGACATTTTATCATCCAGAAATCTCTTTTAACTTACAATTTAGGATAAAGTTGTATATCTCTCTATTATGCCTCATTTGTATACTGAAAAAAGGCAGAAGTGAGCTGACACTTTTTTTCTATTGTATTCCAGGGTATGTCATAAAGTGAGACAGATGGGACAGAGTAGTGCAGTGGAAATGGCGCTAAATTACAGCCACAGAGACCTGAGTTCCATGTCCAGTCTGTCACTTACTGTCTGTATGACTATTCTCTGTGACCTCGGTTTCCTCATCTATAAAATGGGCTACACCCCACCTGTCCTATTGACTTCTCCTGGCAGCACTTCGAAAACTGTAAAGCATTTACCAGTTGTTACTCTCCTGCGCCCCTACCGTCCACAGTGGGAATTTAAACTAAAAAAAATGCCTAAATGGTGAAAACCGATAATGCTGGTACGGAGGAGTCATATACTATTTGCCCTACTTTTGTGTAGGGTTGGAAAGTTTCATAATAAAATGTTAAAAAAAATAAATAAAGTAGCACTAGGCACTTTCTGGTCATCCCTGAAATCATCTTTATGCTACTTTGATATAAGGAGTATTTCGCTAACTCAATTCTCTCCCATGTGGCAGCTGGGATGACGCTTTATGAACCTGACCACAGGGGTGTGTGGATGTTTGCTGCGCGCATGTGCGGGACACCTCGTGTGTTTCGGGTCTTGGTCTGTCTCATTGCCCCTTTCAGATTCCTGAAAGGTTCCTCGGAGCAGGGCTCATAACAAAATTTGTATCCACTGGAAGAACTAGCCAGTACTGCCTGCCTGACTGCCCCACCCGGACCTCGATGAGGACAGTGATCGTGGCAGGGGAGACCCAGGCCAAGAGCATCTCACCTTCCCACCTGAGGGCTGCACTTCAGTTCTCTGCCTTCTGGGGCTCCGTTGCTAGAAAGAAAACCAGAGTGGATAGTGGTTAATGGACCCCTCATCCCAGCAGGCCACCCCCTGCAGCAGCCATGCTTACGCCTGACTCCAGGGGAGCAAAGCGGTGATGCACGTGGCATTTTGAGTCAGACAGACCTGGGTGCGAATCCTTGCCCTGCTACTTGCTGGTTACAGAACTTGGGCACATTCCTTAACCTCTCTGACCCTCAGCTGAAGAACTTGGGTAGTGATGTCCCCCTCATGGGTGGTGTGCACACTAAATGAGATGGGGTGATGCCTGACACAGAGCAGATGCTCCGTAAGTAGCACCTGTTACTAGTGTAGCCTGTTTGGTGCAGGTGAAGGGGCAACACTACAGCGGCCTGGAGACCCCTCTCCTGGCACCACGAGACCATGTTGGACTGGCTCTAGGGCAGCCACAGCACCTGGCGACAGTACCTCCCATCCCCTTTGTTCCACCTGGGAAGGTGATCATGGACAGTTACCATTTGCGGTGATGAGGTTCTCCCCCTGGGCTTCTTCGTCCCCTGGAGCCCTGCAAGAGGCAGAGACACACAGCCCCGTCAGGGGTCTCCAGGGCAAACCCAAGGGCATCACTACCCTGCTTGCTGGTGCAGGGCCACCTGGGATCAGCCTCCTCCAAGTCCTCTGAGGGGCCTGAGCACTCCCTACCATGGGGTGCCCGGTGGGAGGGAGAAGTCAGGACTGAAGGGATCAGAGTCAGAGGGCACATACAGACACCCTTCAGAGAACTAATACTGGGAAGAGGTGGCCTAGGGCCACATGGGGGCTTGGGTGTGCCCTGCCACAGGCTTTGGACTTCTGAGCTCCAGAGCTACCCTTGGCTATTGTGGTGGATTAATGGGGTGTCACATTTACATGGGGGGTAGAAAGGTAGTGTTTCTACTCAGCTCAGAGAGGCTCATGAACAGGTGACAGGTGGGGACAGTGTCACTGGTCCTGTAGAGAGGACCTGGACCTTAAGAGAGGCCCTCAGGCCCTCTGCTTTCCTTCTCCTAAGCCCAGCTGTCTCAACGGCCTCCAGATAAGGTTCCTGCACCTTCTTGCTACCTCCCTTCCCCCCACATACATGAGAAGAGAGACAGATGGTCTAACCCTCAATGTTTTGACCTCCCCTAGCCCTCAATACACACATTCTCTTTCTGAGACAAGAATCCACGAGAAACCATTTGGGGGTCCCACACCAAGCGCCACTCCCTGTGCCTCCTAGTATCACCCCAGATGTCCCTGCATGGCATCCTTACCGGGGCTTCTGATTGAAGCTGCACTTGCACCTGCGACCTGAAAGGCAAAGAAATCAACCAAGGTCATGCTCCTGGCTTGGCCACAGCAGGGCTGCCCTGAGTCTGTGCAGGTTATGGGACTATGTATGTGGCACCCCTAGACCTGGGCAGTGCCCCACTTTCACAGCTGTATGCAGCAACCCTAGGCTGGGTAGGGCTCTTCTGAGGCCGAGGCAGGGCATTCACCAGCTTGGAGGGCCACACCAGCACAGTGCACTCAATCATGCGAGGCAGGGCTCTGCACAGACCAGGCCCATGGGGGGAAAACACATGCAGGGGCACATCCCTCGGAGCACACTAGGGACAACACCTGTCTCCTATCTCCTGTGACTGCCCCACTCATGCCCTCTGGGTACAGCACTATGACAGCCACCCTGCTCCTTCTTGTCTATGCTTGTTTTCATCTAGCATTTTCTTTGTTCATACTTCACTGTTTTACTGAGCACTTACCATATGCCCAGCACTGTATTAGGCCCTGAAGATAACATAGAGGACAGACAGTCTCCTCTCCTTTCCAGGAGAGAGAATGGCCAGGCCCTTACACTGTCCCCACCTGCCTAGCAGCCATATGAACAAAGGAACAAAAAACTTACTTAGGATAAGGAGGATGCCAACCGAGAAGAGGACCACAGCAAACACCAATCCCCCAATCCTCAGGGTCTGGTAGTCTGCCAAAGGAACCAGGGGTGAGAGATGGAAGGAGGGGTAGGGCTAGGGAGAGTGTGTCTGTCCCTCACTGGATCATGCTGCCCTCCCCTCCCTGACCCAGGGTTGCCTCGCCACTCACCATAGTGAAAAGGGTCCATTTCTTCCTCCTTTTCAGTTGCTGCAAAAATAAACAGACGTGGTCAGGAGGAAGACAGCTACACGTACTGGTCCCCAAATACCTTACTTTGCCTCACAGGTATCGGTCCCCACAACGGAATTCCTAGGAAGCAGGGCCCATTAAGCAGAGATATTTGGAGGTGCAAGGACAGGCAGGCCTGCCTGTTAGGACCAATTTGAGGGCCGAGGGCAGACATGGCCTGGAGCCTAGGGAGGTTGTGCCTTCAAGGCACATCCACATTTAGTGGCCCTTTTCAATCTTACATTATCCACAAAAGGTGGGGTCTATTATCCTCTTGTGAAAGTTGGGGAAACTGAGACCAAGGAAGGACGTGTAACTTGCATAAGGCCAGAACTGGCTAACTGTGGTCTAGGTTCTGTGACTCCTAAGGTTCAGGTCACAAGTCCACAGAGGCCTGGTGGGCTTGCAGGGCTTAACAGTAGACCCTGTTGGACCTTTGTGGGGGGAGGTGGTGGGCAGGATTAGAGCCTGTGAATAGCTGCTGCCTTCTAGGGCTTTTTCTGCTGATTGAAGGGAAGAGCCCCTGATCAGACATGAAGACCATAATGTCCCAGAACCTTCCATCAGAAAGGGCCATGGCTATCCTCTTGTTACAGCCAGGTCCTAGAGGGGTACTTACCACTGGCCAGGACCACGGGGGCCAGCAGGCCACACAGAAAGACCAGCACCACCTCCATGGCGTCTGGGGGCAAAGGAAAGGAAAAATGACTGTCTGGGTAGGAGACTCCTGACTCCAACTATCAGGCTGATCAGGGGCAAGTCAAATCCCCAGCTCTACTCTGCGCACTTGCAATACAGTGAGAGTTCAAACAAACTAAGCAGAAGCAGTCGACATTCACTGTACTCTTAGAGAATGCTCTGCATACATTAATTCAATTAACACAACTGAATTAGTATAATTAGCAGGCACTAAGACTAACCCACATTGCAGGTGAAGAGCCTGAAGCTTAAAGAGATTGAATGACTCTCACCAGAGTGAGTACCATGGCCTAGATCCTAACCTAGCTTAGTAACTCCTCTGCCATGCTGCCTTTAGGACCGAAGCCATAAAATCATAAGGACTTTGGAGGTGATCCCATCTGTGTCCTTCACTCCAGGCCACCCTTCTGTGGCCATCTCTAGTTCGTTAAGATGTTTGGGACTTCCTGGCCTGGTCCCTACAGTCAACACCCCCTATGAGAAATAATTCTTTATATCAGATTTAATGTGGCCAGTAAACCAGCATCCCTCTAGTCCAGCCAGTGGGTGGGGAGGGAGACTTGCTGTTTACTGGACTCTGTATGGTAAATCCTGAAATGCTGAGAGCTGTCTCTTAAGTTTCCCCTCACACCTCACACCTAAAGTGCCCAAGTCTATTCTTCCTGTAGGCTTTAGTTTCTAATCCTCCAGAAAGTTGGTTTGATTAAACAAAGGGAGTTTGGAGATTGGCTCTCTGAGCATCAGCACCCTGGCCTCTCCTTCCCCAGGAGATGCAGAGGCCTCTGCTCAGGAGCTCATCAAGTCCTGGTCTCCGGGGTGGGTGGCCCCAGATGGGCCATCTGGGTGGAGGCAGAAGGCAGGGCCCATTGGTCCCACCCAGGGATAGATTTCAGCAGAGTTACACACACCTCACTCCTGGGATTAAAGGAGTGTGTGAAAGAGCCAGAGAGGAGAAGGGAAAGGAACCCAAACCAGAAAAGCCCAGGGCTGTTGGTTCTTTTCCATGTGGGGTAATACTGGCAGTGGCCTGAACCCCTGGAAATGGTCTAGTGGCCAGGAGCAGCGCTGGCTGCACTTCACCTCTCAGCCACCGGGAGTCAGAAGAACTGCACCCAGAGCCATGCCGAGGCCCAAACGTGGGACCCAGAAGAGGCGATTCGAAAAGCCTTTATCAAAAGGCAGTAATTTGCTTTAATACTATCTCATTTCATATTTGTATTTCTTTTAAAGCCTGCGTTATATTTCATATGTGTAAGCATATATATGTAGCACACACATATATAAAGAAGCATTGCAATAAGATAAACACCCAGCAACAAATAACAAGAATTAGAACTTTACAGGGCTAGTCTAGCTCATTTGATTAGAGAGCAGTGTTATAACACCAAGGTCAAGGGTTAGGATCCCCATATGAGCCAGCTGCCCACCCCTCCTCCTCCCAAGAGAACTAGAACTTTACAAATACTGCTGCACTTACTTATATGTTTTCCTCCAACCCATCCCCTTGCCTCTCTCCCAGAAGTAATTGGTATCCTGAATATTTATATTTTTAATCACTCTCTTGCTGTTCTTTTTTAAAAGTTGCTAATCGATGCATATAAAACTTCAGTTATGCAAGATGAACAAGTTCTAGAGATCTGCTGTACAACACTGAATCTGCAGTTAACAATACGTTACTGTACACTTAAAAATAGGCTGAGAGTAGATGTCATGTTAAGTATTCTTATGACAATAACATATATATATATAATATTCATATTAAAACTTATTATTTCAAAGTATACAATTCTATGGTTTTTAGTACATTCACAAGGTTGTGCAACCATGACTATTAGCTGGTTCCATAACATTTTCATCGTCCCCCAAAGAAACCCTGCATCCATTAGTAGTCACTCACCATCCCCCCTTTTCCCCAGCCCCTGCCCCTGGCAACTATTAATCTACATTCTGTCACTAAGAGTTTGCCTACTCTGAACATTTCATATAAACAGAATCAAAATATGCGGCCTTTTGTGTCTGGCTTTTATTCAGCATAATGTTTTCAAGGTTCGTCAATGTTGTAGCATGCACGAGTACTTTATTCCTTTTCATGGCTGAATAATATTCCATTGTGTGGCTATACATCTTGCTCTTATTTTTAAAAATACATTTAACGCACACATACATCTCTAAAAAAATATTTTGCTTACTGTAGCTTTTTTGAGCTTTATAATTATTACATCATGTAGTTTACAGTCACCTAAGACTTGCTTTTCTTGTTTAACATTATGTTTCTAAGAGTCACCCATATTTACATGTAACCATAGTTCACTTATTTTCAATGTTGTGTAATATTCCGTTGTGCAGGTAAATGATCAAGTATTGATCCATTCTCCTGTTGGTGGACATCTGGTTTTTTTCCCCTCTAATTTTGTGCTATTATAAATAATGCAATTGTTAATATTTTGTGAATGGATTTGGTTTGCTAATATTTTGCTTAGAATTTTTGCATCTATGTGCATGAGTGAGATTGGGCTGCAAGTTTTACTGTATTGTCTTGACCTTGCCTGGTTTTGGTATAGTAGTACTGGCCTCACAGAATAAGTATTCACTTTCTTGTTATTCACTGGAAGAGTCTGCAGAAGACTGGAATTATCTGTTCTTTGAACATTTGGTAGAACTAACCTGTAAACTCATCTGGGCTGAGTGGGAAAATTCTTCGTGGGAAGATTTAAAATTGTCTATTCATTTAATTAATGATTATGACACTCTCCAGATATCTCTATTTCTTCTTGAATACATTTAGTGAGTTATAATTTTTTTTTCCTTTTTGTCTTTTTTCGTGTCCGGCAACAGATCGCAACCCTCAGTGTCGCCCCCGTACCGGACTGGGACCGGCAACGGGACCGCAACCCTCGGTGTTGCGCCCGCACCTCGCTCAGCCAGTGAGCAGGAACCGGTCTGTATGTGGGATCCGAACCCTCGGCGGGAGTGCCGCCGTGCTTCCCAAGCAGCACACTGTAGCAGTGCGCCACCGGGCCGGCCCTAGTGAGTTATAATTTTTATAGGAATTTGCCCTTTTTTGCTTTCAAATTTATTGCCATAAAGTTGCTCATAGTATTTTCTTAATGCCATTTTAATTTCTGTTGGATCTGTTGTTATATCCTTTTTTTCATTCCTGTTATTAGGTGTGAGACTCCTTCTTGTCAGTCTCACTAGAAGTTTAACTATTTTATTAGTCTTTTCAAAGAACCAACTCTTGGTTTGGTTGGTCTTCTATCTGGTAGGTTTTAAAATTTTCTTAATTCTGCCCTTATACATTTTTGGGGTTTATTCTACTGTTCTTTCTTTATGTTTATCTTCTTATGTTGGATACATAGTTCATTAACATTTAGCTTTTCTTGCTTTCTAATATAAGCATATAAGACTATAAATTTTCTTCTAAGTGCCACTTTCACTCCATCATATAAGCTTTGAAATGTTTTTTGATTGTTGTTTAGTTCTTAGTGCTTTAAATTTTCATTATAGTTTCTTATTTGACCTGTGCATTATTAAGAAGTATGTTTTAAAAGGTCCAAATGGGTAGTGATTTTTGATTTGTTTGTTATTGACTTCTAACTCAAGGGCACTATGGTCAGAGAACGTGGTCTGTGTGATACAGATGCCTTGAAATGTATTGAGACTTGCTTTATGACCGAGTACATGGTCAGTTATCTAAAAAATTACATTCCACGTGTGCTTAGAAGATTGTGAATTCCTTCATTGTTGGGAAAAATGGCCTATCTGCCCATTAAATTAAGATTATTAACTGTATTGTTTAAATTTCTACATGTTTTTTCATTCTTTTGACTGTTCAACCTATCAAAAATTGAGATAAGTAATTTAAAATCTACCACTATAAGAAAGGACTTATAGATTTATCCCTGCATTTCTTACAATATTCTAACAGAAAGTTTAAAATCGTTATATTGTCCTGTGAGTTGGGTCTTTTAGGATTATACAGTGATCTTCTGTGTCTTAAATTCTATTTTACTTTCTACCTTTCTGGGTCTTTATGTGTTGTGTGTCCATCTTATAAACAGAAAGGAGCTGGATTAAAAAGAAAATTCAACCTGACAGTCTCTATTAATTGTCAAATTTACTCCATTTAAAGTATTCCATTTATTGTGACTATTGATATCTTTGGTCTGATTTTTTCCTACTTTTCTTATTCTTTCTTTCTTTTTTCTTGCCCCCCCCCCTTTTCGAATTGATTTTTTTTTCTTACTCACTTTCTCCTCTGCTGGTTTAGAAATTATACCAGCTCTTTCTAATCTTTTAGTGGTTACCTTTGGAATTTTGTCATATGGACTCAACTTAACAAATACTAAAACAGTCCAAAGTTAATAGCTGTAATAGTTATTATGTATCATTCATATCATATCTCTCCTAGAAAATACAAAAGCATAAATCATCCCCTTCTTGATATGTTGTTATTGTACAATATTTCAGTTGTCTTTTTTTTTTTTTTTTCCTTTTTGTCTTTTTTCGTGTCCGGCAACGGATCGCAACCCTCAGTGTCACGCCCGTACTGGACAGGGACAGGCAACGGGATCGCAACCCTCGGTGTTGCTCCCACACCTCGCTCAGCCAGTGAGCAGGAACCGGTCTGTATGTGGGATCTGAACCCTCAGCGGGAGCGCCACTGCGCTCCCAAGCGGCGCACTGTAGCAGTGCGCCACCGGGCCGGCCCATCAGTTCTCTTTTTTTAATCCTATAAAATAGATACTAGTATTTGTATTTCATGAAAACAAAGCATTTGATAAGATCCAACACTCATTCATGACAAAGACCCTTTATAAATTAGGTATAGATGGAAAGTATCTCAACATAATCAAAGCCATATATAATAAACCCACCGAGAAGAAATCAAACAGGAAATAAAAAAACTTATTGAAACATTCAAAGAGGAATTGACACCGATTCTTTACAAACTATTCCAAAAGATTGAATCAGACGCAAATC